CCCCACCCTGCTTTTATTCTTTGGAAGGTAATGCACAGAAATTTGCACTAAGGTGCATTCCCTTTTTGTATCTAAAACTTCCAATTTGACAATTTCAGGAGGGCAGCAGAATAGATGAAGTCATTCCAAAAAAAGAAAACATCTAACTGAGCTTTGCTATGAATTATGGTACCTTGTCATTAATGTAATGATGAGGACAATAACCTGTGTTATATTCATTTCTAACACTTTAATACTGTTGTAATGTGTTCCTTTGGATGTTTAGTGTGCTATTTTTAACCCATCTTTTCAATGTTTTTCCTTTCGACAGGTCTGAAGAACTGTTGCCCAATTCAACAGTGCCAGCATTCCAACTTTGTTAAACCTACCAACATCTTAAATGGACTTTCTGTGGTGGTACCCTTTGAGAGGCGGATGAAAGCTACTACATCAGTTTGCACATTCTAATCACTTTCCAGTATCACAAGAGAGATTTTTACTTATATAATAGTTCTAGAGTATGCATCTGGTAAAACCAGAGGCTACAATCCAGTATTACTGCTAAGAGACATTTTTCATCCACCAATGTTGTATGTACATGTATGAAAATGGTGTACTGTATACTTTAACACGCCCCATACTTTGTATTGGAGAGTACAATAATGTAAATCCTAAAAGCACCACTATTTTAGCATAATAAAAGAAAGTCCAAAGAGCTCCTATATAGACTACTCCAGATAACTTTGCTTCTTTGATACTTGTAGCTTACTGTAATTTTTTTTAAGAAATTCAAGGTCATTATCATTGTATTGTACAAATAAGCGCTTTGATTAACACAGCTATATAATTTTTTTAATTTTTAAAAAACCTGTGGAGACAGTGATCTTGTCTTTAAAATATGATAGTCCTTTCAGTATAATGTCTTAGATTAAAGACGTTGCCTTTAATATCTGTTGGGAAGGAAATGTCCAGACTTTTCAAATCTCTTATTATATGTTTCCTTTTTTGTTTACATAGGGAACAATGTTTATAGTTGTGTGTACAGTGGGGGTCTACAACAAGAAGTGTATATTTTCAAACAATTTTTTAATGATTTAACAATTTTTGTAAATCATTTTCAGGCTTCTGCAGCTGTAGATTCTCACTGTGAATCCCTTGCTTGCTCATGAATAAGTGTATTTGCAATACCAAATATACAGGTTTAGTATTTTTGCCTGTTAGTGATTGTTTCACATGTGTAACGTTTTGGTTGAGACGTTAAATGGTGGACGAGTACTGTGGATGTGAATGTGGGAAGTAATTTTAATCATGTGTAATTGGTCACAAGGCCTAAGTTGCAGTAACTCTTGCTGTTTTATTTAACAATGCCTTGTTGCTTTGTATGCATTACGTTTGGGTGTAAAGATTGTGTGTCTATCCAACAGGGAGCCACAGTATTTAAATTGACCAACCTAATGTTACAACTACTTTGAGGTGGCCAAATGTAAACTAAAAGCCTTAATTAAAGTGGTGCAATTTTGTATAACTTAGCATCAGTAGTTCAATAAATTTGGATTGCCATGCAAGGGCTTGCATTATAATTACTTGCCACTTGAATGTGTTTTGTGTAATGTTTAACAGTGCTAGTAAATAAATATAGGCTTAACTTCTTTTTAAATGTAATAAGTGCATTTTACATAGTGTGGTTTCATAATTTAACATTTGAGCAAGCCAGACTCATTCATTAAGTACAGAAATGATGAGTGAAAAATGTCAGATTTTTTTCCTAGTGTTGTTTGCATAGCCACATAACCAACCACCTTTGGAATTTTCCTTGGGAAAGAATTTTGTAAATCAAGCAATATTACTTATGAACATATGCCTTCTGGGTAATGTTCAATAGCTGTTTAAGGTGTAGGAGGAAGAATTGAAAATACTTTGACAGATGTTACACTTAATAGATTTTTTTTAAAATATAGGATGAAGTTATACTTAGAATATTATGGTTATAAAAATTTTTGAATGGAGTGGACTCAAGTACTACTTTGTTTTTAGATAACAGTTCTGTCTTGTTTTATGTGTGCTGTAATGCAGTTCTTTTTTGAAACTTGTAAACAAATCTTAACTCAAGCTTTCACAAAGTATTTGCCAGCCACTAGAGATATCAATTAATTAGTGATACCATGTAATTTAGGGGTGTCTGCTAACCCCCTAAATACATGCTATTTGAATGGGACATTTGAAGGCTTTCATTTTATAAGAAGAAAAAGGTCTTATTCCTTATGTATTTAACTCACAGGAGCCCGTGTATTTAAAGGCTCCATGTATCTAAAAATGTTTGTTCTCTCAGAAGCCCCACTTAACTAAGAGACTTGCTTTGGCAGAACTGGTTTTATTTATAGTCATGGGGTGAAAACGAAGCCCGAAGAAGTGGGATTGTAGAGCACTAAAATCACTTCAATTTACTGTGTCTTATTACATCCATTTAACCCTCTTTGAAGGCACCCCCATTCAATTTTAATAAATGTTTGTTGCCTACCAACTATGTTCCAATCTGAATTATAGGCTCTTAAACAGGTAAATTTTCAACAGGTAAAATTTAAGTACTTGTGTGTTAAGCACTGTTCTAGATCTGAGGATAGAGCAGCAACTGAGATCAGCTTAGGACCTTGCCCTCCTAGAACTTATACTCTAGGGTTTCTCAGCCTCAGCTCTATGGATGTTTTGTGCTGGATAATGAGTTTTGGGGGGCTGTCCTGTGCATTATTGGATTTTTGCAGCATCCCTGATCTCCACCCACTAGATACCAGAAATACCATCCTCACCCTCAAGCTGTGACAACCAAAATTGTCTCGAGATACTGCGAAGTGTCCTCCAGTTAGATTCAGGGAGTGGGAGAGTAGGTGTTGAAAGGCAAAATCATCCCCATTAAGAACCACTGATCTGGTGGGAAACATTAATTACACATGAGTGTTAGGGGTGCAAAATGGACAGTTTAGTATAGTAAGTAAGAATGTGGGCTCAACTTAGACTTCCGGGGTTTCTCATCCCCACTCTGCCACTTCCCAGCATGTGAGCATGGTTAGGTGCCTCGGTTTCCTTCTCTGTAAAATGGGAGTGATAGATAATAACACCACTTCATAGGAGCTAAGGAGAGTGAAGTAAGTAAATGCCAGTACCATCCTTTAGGATATACATAAAAGGTCTGACAATTAAGTTCGCAAACTCGTCCTAGAAAAAGTGCCACATGCCTCAGTGCTGAATATCACTACAGTCACCTTCGAAGTCCTCCCTTTGGGAAGCTATACACCGACTCCAGCGCCTAGTCCACCCTTCAAAGCAATTTTGGAACTCTGGAATGGTCATCAGAGCTGTCATCGTATTACCCTTAATGCCCTGAATGTCATCAAAATGTCTTCCTTTCAATATTTCCTTTATTTTTGGGTAAAGAAAGAAGTCACTGGGGGCCAGATCAGGTGAGTAGGGAGGGTGTTCCAATACAGTTGTTTACTGGCTAAAAATGCCTTCATAGACAGTGCCGAGTGAGCTGGTGCATTGTCGTGATAAAAGAGCCATGAATTGTTGGCGAAAAGTTCAGGTCATCTTAACTTCTTCACGCAGCCTTTTCAGCACTTCCAAATAGTAAACTTGGTTAACTGTCCACTTGGTACAAATTCATGATGAGTAATCTCTCTGACACCAAAAAAGGTTAGCATCATTGCAACAAGTTCGCGAACTTAATTGTTAGACCTTATATATACACATATTTGTATTAATAGAAATAAAGCTGTTGTTACACAGAAAGTACCATTATCTCATATATAACTGGACCTTAAGAATGCAGATCATATGTAATTGGACTTTTCTGGTACTTCAGTGGAAAAATAGTAAAAATAAATCCGCCAGAAAACTCATGAGGTCCTTTTCATGTCCCCAAGGATACTTGGAGAAACTTGAATTTTAGGACAAAACCAGGAGGATATTTCACTTAATTTTCCTAAGAAGTATAAAAACCCTATTTGACTTCTCTGTTGATTCAATTTTTTTTCTTAATATATAATCTTTACTACATGTGCATATTATGAGTACAAAGTTTTAGAACCTCCATTTATGAAAGTAAGTTTTACTTTGCTTTTTTAATCATCTTTAGTGGGGCAGCAAACTAAGAATCAGAACTCATAACTGCAACATTTTTTCATTTTACCTCAGTCTATGTCTTCATTGAATTTAATTCCCATGTGTTGTCACCTCTCTTTTAAATGTTGGAAATGTAGGAATAAGTTATAGTATTTCATAATTAATACTCCTATGACCTTTTTTTAGACATCTTAGTTTGCAGGATTATCTCTTTTAAACTATCAGTGAGCCTTAATTGTGATTTATAGGACTCAAACTTTTTAAAAATATGTTCTGTAATTTTTTACAGTGCATCAATACAGCTGGTATTTTATGAATGCATAAGAGAAGTGTAATAGATTGAGAGCAGAACTAAACTTACATCCCTTAACTGCCTATTGAGAGATGTGCGTGAGTCTTTGTTGGGATATTGATAATACTTGTCCAAATTGACTACTAAACCCATTAATAGAGCAGCTAAGTTTGTAGGCTTGACATTAGTTTATCTTTGAAAGGTAGAAATAATATTGGTAAATAGGTTTTTTTCTAAAAGCTACATATTTTTTAAAAAGTATTCCACAATTTGCACGTAATTTTAATTTGTTCCCTTAAAACATTAGTAGCCTGTAGATTACTGACCTTAAGAATTAAAAGATTTTGCCCAAAATTAGGGATATCTACCTGATTTTTGTATCGAAGAATCAACAAATGTATTCTGTATTGCATGTCTACCATGTTTTATCATTTATATAGACAATCAGTTTCTGATTTGTAGGATGTGGAGAGAATTTTACTATTTTGGTATATTACAAACCTAGTTTAACCTGATTTTCCCTATACAGTGACATAAATGAAATAATTATCCAGCTTCATCATTTGGGTCCAAATGCAGGGTTTTTCCTCAAAACATAAACCTTACAATATTTTTATGTGAATAATATATTTTCAAAAGGTTACAGCAGTTTTTAAATAGGCATAAATTAAAGACCAATGTTTTTGTCACCTGCCATCATTACCCATTCAAATTTCAATCTATAATGTAGTTTGTGTCCCCTGTGAGCACAAAGTTCAGAACAGGAAACTTACAGCCATGCTCCGCGTAATGACAACGGACCACATATAGGATGGTAGTGCACCATACAGTGTAGGTGTGTGTCAGTGCACTCTGATGCATGATGAAATCACCTAACATTTCTGAGAGCATAGCCCCATCATTAAGCAGCACGTAACTGTACTGTCAAACTTGAATGTGCAACATGCCAAGCTTGGGGCAGAGGGGAGTAGCAAAGGATAAATGATATAACAAACCCGGTCCCTGCTGGCAAGGTGCTTAATGCATCAGTGGTGGGAAAGACCAGTAAACTATCAAAATAAGTGAAAATCTAATAACGTGTTATCTGACCTCAGTTCATGCTCTGTTATCCATAGTAATGCAAGTTTCTAACAGTAATAATTGTATTTTGCTTTAAAATGTATAGACTCTTTGATTTATATTTCGACTACTAGTTTTACTCCAGTCAGTGTTAGATTCTCTGAGCAAATCAACCAGTGCAGTGATGATGAACTACATGGCTGGCAGAAAAAATGAGTCCATACTGGAAATGGAGTACAGTCAGACTGGTACAATAGAGTGGATGGTTACCAGGAAGCCACTCAACTGTTCTAAGGGAGAGTAATATGACTAACATCACAGATTTTGACAACTGAAAAATCACTCAGGGAGGAACGATGGTGGAGCTGGAGTTTAACCCAGCTAAATTATGGGCTGCTTGGGTCTGGAAGCATGAAGTGATTAGAGTTGCTGTGATAAGGAGAGCCCAAGAAATTTTTTAAAGCAGTAATGGGAGAATTGGTTAATGGCTCAGATGTGAGGCCAGAAGGAAAGGGTGAAATATCTGATTATATTAGCAGAACCAGAGGGATTGAACACCAAGGACGATAAATTAGAAAAGCTAGCAAGGAATCACTGTTTTTACTGCATGAGCGAAAGAACTTTTTGTTAAGACAAAGTTTACGCTAAGTGCAGTATTTTCATGAGTATTATCTCCTGAGAAGGCAGATTTTAACAGTTGGACCTTGAAGTCACTGACATACAGGATGCAACTGAAACCATGAATGTTAATGAAATTATTTTTATAAGGATTAAGCGTGAAAAAATAATGGAACAGCCTGGCCTAAGCAGGCTGCGGATGGGGAAGAGAAGGTTGGCATCCAAAGGATTTCTATTACAAAGACAAGGGCAGCAGATGGCCTTCTACAGCCTGAGAAGACATCCTTGATGGCAAGGAGCAGGATAATGTTCCCCTTTACTTGTCTTATACTGTAGGCCAGCTGTAACTTCATTCTGTAGACACATCATAATTCCTATCTGTCTCGTTCTATATTTCTTAGTGAGGAATTGGCTACTTATCTAAGGAGATGATGGGATAGTTTGGAAATACCATCCTCTAGTACCAGATTTATGGAGGTCTACAGGAACTATAAAGTATTTCAGAAACTGTGTTGACAAACTTCGAATCCAGTTGCACCAAGACCATGGGTCTCAAATACATATTGAAATATTTCTGTACATACCTTTCCAATAATATAAACATTTTTGTTCCTCTTGTTTTTCTTAGATGGCACTTGGGTGTTTTACTCACAAAAATATGTTGAGATGAATTCTTATTAACTGGATTCCATGTAGATCTATTGTTTTCTAAAAATATTAGTGTCCTCATTAAACAGTATTTCTTAGTTCATAGGGCTACTGTAACAAATTACCACAAATTTGCTGGTTTAACACAACAGAAACTTGCACAGTTTTGCAGGCCAAAAGTCCAAAATCGAAATGTTGGCAAGGCCTCACTCCT